AAGAGAATTGATGCCTTTGAGCTGTGGTGCTGGAGAAGAGTGTTGAATATACCATGGACTGCTAGGAGAACAAACAGGTTTGTCCTAGAGAGGGTGAAGCCAGAATGCTCCTTGGAGTCAAGGATTCTGAAGCTTCGTCTGACATACTGTGGGCATGTTGCAAGGAGGGACTGGTCCTTGGAGAAGGACATCATGTTTGGGAGAGTGGAGGAATGGCGCAAGAGAGGAAGACCCTCGATGAGCTGGATCGATTCTGTGAGTGGAGTGGTGGGAATGAGTGTGTCTGAGATGGCGAGGTTGGCACAGGATAGAAGGTGTTTAGGGCTCTTGTACATAGGGTTGCTATGAGTCGCAAGTGACTCGATGGCACATAACAACAACAACAACAACAACAACAATTGCAGGTTTGTGCAATGCAATACTTTGGGTTTTTTGGCTGTTGTTTTAATGGACATGGACTGTAGCAGATCCAAGCCAAAAAAGAAAAAGAAATAAAAAATAAAAACCCTTGACAAAATTAATCTTTTCTATATTTATCATGTTGTTTTGGTTACTGGTCCAGTTTTTTTGTTTCAAGTTGTTATGTAATCCATATTGAAGATTGTAGTCTTTAATCTTCATTAATAAATTCTTCAAGCCCTCTTGACTTTCAGAAAGTTACATTGGGTCATCTGCACATCACAAATTGGTAGTGAGTCTTCCTCCAATCCTGATGCTGTGTTCGTCTTCATATAATCTAGCTTCTCATATTATTCCACATACAAATTCATTAAAAATGGTAAAATACTAGAACCCAAACATACATCTTTCCTGTTCAAACACCTACCTCTTGGTCTATGTACAGGTTCTGTGTGAGCACATTTAATGGTTCTGGTATTTGCATTCTTCACAATTTTACCCATTATGTCTTCTTCTGGCCAATAAAACCCAAGTAAATATCTTCCTGGCATTCTCTGCTTTCAGCAAAGATCCATCTGACATCAGTAATGATATCCCTTATTCTACATTCTCTTCTGAATCTGGCATACATAGCTGGCATTTCCTTGTCAATGCACTCTTTTGTTGTTGTTATGTGCCATTGAATTACTTTCAACTCATAGCAACCCTATGTACAACAGCTCTGAACCTTGTCTATCTTGAACCCACTTTATTTTCTCTGACACACCCTACTTCCATTATCCAAGTCACTGAGTCAATACATCTCATCTAGGATCTTCCTCTCTTGCACTGTCCCTCCACCCTCCCAAGCATGATAACCCTCCCTCTCCAATGTCTGGTCCCTCCTGTAACATGTTAGAGCTTCAGAATTCTTGCCTCCAAGGAAAAGCCTGCTTTCACCCTCTCCAAGATGAAACTGTTTTCTCCTAGCAGTCCATTGTATATTTAATACTCTTCTCCAGCACCACAGCTATTTTTTTGGTTTCATATGATCATTCCATATATTGCATCTTGTAAAATTAATCACCATTGTTCTATGCTTACTATTATCCTGTCTTTTCAGATCCCCATTGAACCTTTCCTAATTCTTTCAGCTCCTCTCTCCATCCACCAAATTTTGCAACCCTCTGATTTCACCCCTGTCCACCCCCAGTCTGATTATCCCCTCCCCTTCTCTGAGTATTCATACACATCTTACTAGCTGACTTTACTGCAACCATTTTTTTTTGTTTATTAATTTCAATGAACATCTACAGAGATTTTGGACTTCCATTCATTCATTGTTGCACGTTTCTCCCCGCCCCCCCTCCCAGTTCGCTCCTCTCCTTGAAAAGCAAAACTCCTTCATTGGTACACAATCCCCCAGCACAACGCCACCCCCACCCTGCATATACTCCACTCTGCAACTCTCATTCCAGACTCTTATGATAATCATAATGCCCTAAAATATATTACTTTTAAACCATTCTCTCCCTAATCGTCTTCAACGCAGTAAACATAATTTATCCAGTTTTTCTCAGTCTTATCCCCACTCCGATGTCAGCCTCATTCTACAACAGTGGCACCATACAGTATTTGTCCTTTTGTGGCTGAGATATTTCACTCAGCATCATGTCCTCCAGGGTCACCCATTTTGAATAATATTGCATGAGTTCCTTATTTTTCAATGCAGCGTAGTATTCCATTGTGATATACCACAGCTTCTCATTCCATTTTTTTTAAAATTTTTTTATTTTGTGTGCGTGTACCGTCAAATCAGATCTGGCTGGTACAGGAGGATATTGCGCTTCCTTGTCCGGCAGAGCATCTGGTGGATTCGAACCATGTTCCTCT